ATTTTATTTTGGCTGGGGAGTGGTTTGCATTGGAATAGATCTAAATGGATGCTCAGGAGGCACGGGCAAGAGTTAATTATGTCTTTTAAGTTGAATTTCATTGACTGGAATATGTGTGTGTGTGTGTGTTTATTAATCTTTAAGTTAAAAATGCCCTTTGAAAAGCCTGAAGGATATCTGGTTTAAATGATCGGAATTTATTTCTGTACTTATTAATTTATCATCATTTCCTGCTATTTGTTCCTGCAACTATTTGTAAACCTATGTGCCTGTTCCATGTGTTCATCGTATTTTAATTGCTTGGATAATTTTCAGGGTGCTATTGAATCCATATTAGTGGGTGAAATTAAGCTCAGTTTACGTCAGTCCTTGGTTAAACTTGGGTTTGGCATTATTTCTAAGGATCCAAAGCTGCAGGTGTTAATTTGTGACCTAGAAATTGTATTAAGGCCTTCAACAAAAGGCTCACAGAAAGCTAAATCCCGGAAACCTCGCACTTCAGGCAGGGGAAAGTGGATGGTTGTAGCTAACATTGCAAGATTTTTGTCAGTTTCTATTACAGATTTGGTTTTGAAGGTAGCTGGTCTTTGATCTTTTTTTTTCTTCTTTTTAAATAATGATTCACCTTTTGTTTTTTTGTTTTTTTTGATAAGCAATGATTCACCATTTTTATAATTCATTTCAGCACATAACTTTTTAATGCTTTTGTGATGTGTCTCTGTGTGTCTTTGTTCTAGAATAAATGTTAAATGGGGTGCTAGGGAGAGTGATGATGGACAATGTATAATTTTTTAATTTCAGCAAATTTGATTTTGATTGCTACCTTTGTTCTGATTGTAAGTTATCAAATAAGAAATTTGGTAATAGCTTTTAGTTGGTTCCTGCACTGAGGATGCATAATATCACGATGCACAGGTTAGAACCTTGATCTAGGTTGGAGTACCATTCTGATAGACATTTTTGTTAGCTCATTTGATCAAAAGGTACTGTTAGAATCTGATCTTGTTCGGACACCTAGTGTCGTGTAGGCTTTATTATCTAGTGAAGGTTCAACAATCTCTGAATGCCCTATTTTTGCATAGATTCAGTATATATACTTCTGTTTTTTTTTTTTTTTATCTTCTTTTCTGTTGTCCTTTTCATTTTGAAGTTTTTATACTCCTCAAGTTAATTGTCTCTTGAAACTATGCAGACACCTAAAGCAACTGTTGAGGTGAAGGAACTCCAAGTAGATATATCTAAAGATGGTGGATCCAAGCCTAATCTGTTTGTTAAGCTACATATATTACCCATTTATGCCCATGCTATTCAGCCACTCTCTGGCATTATGGAAAAGTCTTCTGCTCCTTTTAGCTGTGAAGAGTTTTCTCTCTCTTGTGAATTTGGCCATGATAGGTATTTCTTTTCTTTTTGAAACTTTCCTTTATAGTGGCCAAGTCATTCCAGCATGTCATCTTTTGCATTTGTTGGTCAGTTAATCATGGTAAATGATTTTATTTCTTGCATAACATTCTCTTGGGCTTTCTTTCTGTCTCATACAAATATTCTCCCCTTAATCATGTAACTCTTGTTTTTGCTTTTGCTTATGTGTTAACATGTTCTTTTTTGCATTCAGGGAAGCAGGTGTTGTTGTCCGAAATGTGGACATTAACTGTGGAGAGATTGTTGTGAACCTCAATGAGGAGCTGCTCTCAAAGAATAAAAAATCGTCAGATGTTTTTTCTGAAACTGATAAAGTTACAGGGTTAACTGCTGATTCTGTAACAAAAAAAAAGCCTCAGAAAAAACAAGCTGCAATTTTAGCATTGACTAAGTATACTTCTATGTTTCCAGAAAAGGTTTGTGATTTTACTCATGGATGGAGATAAGCTTGCTATTGTTTTCCCCATCTTCTATCGTTGGCAGCCTTTTTCTAAATCAGTTATTATTTTATACAAAGATTAGAAGCATCTGCAAGAAATGCTTCTTTATTAGAGCACAAAAACATTGTTATTGGGGCTTGCTCATGATTGTTGTACCTACTTAACTATCATGAAAATTGCTTTTGTGATGTTCTACTAGATTGAGCAATTAAAGACGTTATTCCAACCTGCTTGGGATAACTGTTTTGGTATATTGTTGGTGAGCTTAAGAGCAGACAGACAACTCAATTGAGGTAATGAGGAAACTAAGAAAGGAAGAAACTAAAATAAGTAAAGAATTCCAATGGAGAGGGTCATTATTGAGATTTTACACCCTAAAGAAGAGGATGCATGTTTGTTTGGTGAAGCCATATTGTCTTGTGTTGAATGGTGAGAACTGAGAATTAAAACCTATAGCTCAGAGACAATGCTCAAGGTGTTTGCATATTCTAGACTCATGATAATATCTTACTAGAAGTGAAGAAGATTAGGTTGTGAGGTTCATTGTTCTTTGCCACTGCATTCTATGGTGCCATTTTCTGCGTGGCAATCTTTGTTTGTCATATTTCCTCATCTGCTTAGTAGCATAAATGAAGAGTGTTTGTCAGCATTCTGATGTTCATGAAACATTATCTTAGTTAATGATGGAGCCATCAAATTAGCAAGGTGACTACATTGATCAATGTTAGTAGTTACATTTTTCTGTCATTTTAGCAAGTATGCAGCACTTGATTTCTCACCAAAAGGCAATACCTTAGGTCCTCAACGTGCTTTACATTATATTTGATCATGTAGCAACTATTGGTTGGTTGTGTTTAGTGGGAATGCGTGATGTGTAAGCTTGAAAAAGACAGTATACTGCCTTGAGTGCTAATGCACTGGTGGGAAGGTTTATATTGTTCATTCATTCATTTGTTTGATTTTTGAGACAGATTTGCTTCAACTTACCAAAACTAGATGTGAAGTTTGTGCATCGAGAACATGATCTTTTTGTTGAGAATAACATCATGGGCATTCAATTGAAAAGCATCAAATCACGATCTACTGAAGATGTGGGGGAGAGTACACGCCTTGATGTTCAGTTGGAGTTCAGTGAGATACATGTATAGCCCTTAATATTGATGTTGCAGGCTGAGCAAAAAAAAAAAAAAATTGATGTTGCAGCACTCTACGTTTTAATTTTAACTATATCTTGCGGCTTGGCATATTATTGACTTTGGTTTTTCCTTTCTATTTCAGCTTCTTAGAGAAGCTCGCTCTTCTATATTGGAGATAATGAAAGTTGATGTTGTCTCTTTTGTCTACATTCCAATACAGGTGAGTCCTGTGCAATCATGGCAGGTTGGTGTCTTTGTCAAGTTGCTACCTTTAACTTTGTCTGTGTTGTACAACAGGTAAAAATATGTTTTGACTGCAAATGCTGCCATTAAATTTCCACTTATTCTGTTGTTGCTTTGCTTACTGTCTTTTACCGAGTGATCTCAGATGAGTTTGAACTTGAGAAACTATCATTTTTGGTTGTCAAATTAGAAATTCTTGGATCTGACTTGGCATCAGCATTTTATGTGGGTCACATGACTAGCATTGTAGCTTGATAGGAAAGGAATAATAGTTGATACACCTCAGGCTTTTTTGGGGGATTTAATTTGGGTTGGTGGTTGAATCATTTCTGTTTGCATGCCTCAGCCTTGTGTTGGTGATTTGGTGTATGTTCGCAAGTTTGTAACTTGAACCCAAATAGAAAATGCAGAATCTTCAACCGAACCTGGTCCAATTCAACCTGACTGTGGTGTTTACAAATGTTAGCATCTGCCCTGTACCCGCTGGGAAAAGTAAATCTGAATATGACCCAACTCGACCTGCCTTCAAAAAACAATCACTTTATAAAATAAAAACCATTTTATATCCCAGGAAGACAACTGTTTTTAGAAGAAAAAATCTTATTATTGTTCCAGATGGGGACTGGTTTTGCTCATTTTAGGCCTTATATGGGTTTAGGGCATCGAATTTCCCAGTTGGTGAATGGTTCCCCAATTCAGCTGGTTGAACTAGCCGGTTTTCGAAACAGTTGTTCTTGAAGATCAGCTTGGTGATTGGAAAAGGAAACTAGTTAGTCGGTTTACCTTCACCAACTTCTCTAATTTCCTTATTCTATTCATTCTTGTTTTCAACTTGGGTAGCTAAAATATTAAATGGGCTTGACTGCTTTAATTTTTGGTCCTTGTTAAATGATGGAGATAATTAGTAGGCTTTCTATCTGATTGAGAAGGAGGTCCCTTTGCTCGTTAATCGTTATCTTTACTTTGCCTTTTCTCTCTGTAGTTTATATATATGTTACTTGCCTGGTCCAAGGACTGACTCTTGCCACCACCCACTTTTGTTTGGGAACGAGGAAGCTTTTTTTCCTGTCTCATTTCTATCTAGTTTTCCTACCAGGTTATTTTGCTTTTGTTTGGTAGATGTATATTTTTAGAGACATATGGACTTGTTAAACATAGTGTGGGTGCCACATTTATAATTTTATTGGGTTGGTTTAGTAGCTTATTCTTTCTAATGCTGTTGCTTTTCAGCCAATCTCACTTGTTAGAGCTGAAGTTGATGTTAAGCTTGGAGGGACTCAGTGCAACATTATAATGAGTAGATTAAAGCCATGGTTGAGGTTGCAAACCTCCAAAAAGAAAGGAATGGTTCTCCGAGAGGAAACTTCTACCATAGAGAAGGCACAATCAAGTGAATCCAAAGCCTTCATGTGGACATGTACTGTCTCAGCCCCTGAGATGACAATTGTGCTTTATAGTATCAGTGGTGTGCCGCTGTATCATGTAAGCAACATGCTTTGTCATTTTTATATTGGGTATCCAAGAAATGTATGAGCCTTAATCTTGCAGATCATGCTGTGTTATGTAGCACAGAATTTTATATCTGAAGGGTACATAATCGGCTGTAATCTTTTGCTGCCAGAACATAGTTGGTATTTTAGGATTTATATGCAGAATGGAGTTCTTCACTTCCTAGTTGTAGTTTTGTTTCAGTTGATTTTAACCAACAAAAAATTTTGTGCAAGATAATCATGCCAAGTATTTGACTTATTCAACTAACGCATTACTTCAGTTGCATTAGTTAAGTGCTGTTGTTCTGGGTTGTAGTGTTGTAAAGTCAATATATTTGCTACCAGGTGGTGGGAACTACAGTGACAGGATTCACTTAAAATTAGCACCAATTAAAATCATCATATTGGTAAAAGAAGATCCTACTTTAACAAACCTTAATATGAACTGATCGCTCATGGGCCACCGACAAGGAAAATTAAAGAGTTTATCCAAGATGCTTGTATGCTTATGATGGTTTTACTGAGCTTAGATGTTATATGTATATGGGCATAGGAAATCTTAATTCCATCTCTAGTCACATTTATTTGCTTTCTTGAGTATCATGATATTCTATTTGGACTCTATATTAATGCTGTTTTTTGTTGTTATCCACTTTTTATGCCTTAATTGGTTTGAAGCAATGACTAAGACACCATTTTGACTTTGGTTTCCAAATGCAGGGCTGCTCACAGTCATCACATGTGTTTGCTAACAACATTTCAAGTACAGGAACCACAGTACACATGGAACTTGGTGAGCTGAATTTGCATATGGCAGATGAATATCAAGAATGTTTGAAAGAAAGCCTTTTCAGTGTGGAATCAAATTCAGGTTCCTTACTGCATATAGCAAAGGTTAGTCTAGATTGGGGTAAAAAGGACATGGAATCATCTGAAGATGATGGCCCTAGATGTAAATTAGTTCTTTCTGCTGATGTGACTGGAATGGGCATTTATTTAACTTTTAAGCGTGTTGAATCACTTATAATAACAGCTATGTCCTTTCAAGCTCTCTTGAAAAATCTATCTGCTGGTAAGAAAGCTACACATAGCCGGACAGGACGTTCATCAAAACCATCAGGGAAGGGTACTCGGCTTTTAAAAGTCAATCTTGAACGTTGTTCAGTTAGCTTTTGTGGTGAGACTAGCTTGGATAACACAGTTGTGGCAGATCCCAAGCGTGTAAATTATGGGTCTCAGGGTGGTCGAGTTGTTATTAGTGTTTCAGCTGATGGTACACCACGTAATGCAAATATAATGTCCATAGCCTCTGATCAGTGCAAGAAATTGAAATACTCTCTTTTGCTTGACATCTTTCACTTTAGTTTGTGTGTGAACAAGGAGAAACAATCCACCCAGGTGGAACTTGAAAGAGCCAGATCTATCTATCAGGAACATCTTGAAGAAGATAAACCAGACACAAAAGTTGCATTATTTGACATGCAGAATGCAAAATTTGTACGACGCTCTGGTGGCCTTAAGGAGATAGCTGTTTGCTCTCTGTTCAGTGCTACTGATATATCCATCAGATGGGAGCCTGATGTCCATCTGTCTTTGTTTGAACTGGTTTTGCAACTGAAAGCACTGGTTCACAATCAAAAGGTTAAGGGACTTGGTAATGAGCTCATGGACAATGTCTCCGGTGTAAGAGATGCTGAGCAGAAGAAGGAAGTCACTGTGGTGGAATCAGGTCATCTTGATAAAACAAAGAAAAAAGAATCTATATTTGCTGTTGATGTGGAGATGCTGAGTATATCTGCTGAAGCTGGAGATGGTGTTGATGCACTTGTGCAGGTTCAGTCAATTTTCTCTGAGAACGCTCGCATAGGAGTACTTCTTGAAGGACTGATGCTTAGTCTCAATGGAGCCCGGATATTCAAAAGCAGCCGAATGCAAATTTCCCGTATTCCCTATGCTTCCAGCTCAACTGATGCAGCAGGTCCAGTGGGCACCATGTGGGATTGGGTTGTTCAAGCACTTGATGTTCATGTTTGCATGCCTTTCAGGCTGCAGTTGCGAGCCATTGATGATGCTGTTGAGGAGATGTTGCGAGCTTTGAAGCTTATAACTTCTGCTAAGACTCAGCTAATTCTTCCCATGAAGAAAGAAAGCTCAAAACCTAAAAAGCCTAGTTCAACCAAATTTGGGCGTGTGAAGTTCTGCATACGCAAGCTGACTGCTGATATTGAAGAAGAACCAATGCAGGGTTGGCTTGATGAGCACTATCATCTAATGAAGAATGAGGCCGTTGAGTTAGCTGTTAGGTTGAAATTTTTTAATGATTTTATTGTGGCCAATCAGTGTCCTAAAACGGCTGAAATAAGTGACTCTGCTTGTGAAAGAAAGATTCAGAATGATGGAGTTGAGATCAATGTGCAAGACCCTTCAGCAATTGAAAAAATGCAAGAAGAGATATATAAACAGTCTTTTCGATCCTATTACTTAGCATGTCAGAAGCTAAAACCATCAGAAGGCTCAGGTGCCTGTAGAGAAGGATTTCAGGCTGGTTTTAAGCCAAGTACCGCGAGAACTTCTCTTCTTTCTGTTTCAGCTACAGACTTAGATGTGACCTTGACAAGGATTGATGGTGGAGGTGACGGGATGATAGAGGTTCTAAAGCAGCTTGATCCAGTATGTCGTGAAAGTAATATACCTTTTTCCCGTCTATATGGGAGCAATATTCTCTTAAACACTGGAAGTCTAACTGTTCAGTTAAGAAATTACACACTTCCTCTTTTTTCTGCAATTTCTGGTAGATGCGAAGGCCGTGTTGTGCTAGCACAGCAGGTAAACTCCTAAGCTACTGCCCCCTTCCCCCTGGTTTTTTGGTCCCATTTCTAAATGCTAAAGATAATTGTATTTGAAATTCTCTCTTTATATATGTTATTTATTTTTTTGAAAAAGGGGGGGCGGGGTTTTGCTGATCTTACTCTAATTGAAATTATTTTCTTTGAAAATTAGGCAACATGTTTTCAGCCCCAAATTTCCAATGATGTCTTCATTGGAAGATGGAGAAAGGTCCGCATGCTTCGTTCAGCCAGTGGTACAACTCCACCGATGAAAACATACTCAGATTTGCCTATACATTTTGAAAAAGCAGAAGTGTCCTTTGGGGTGGGATATGAACCGGTTTTTGCTGACATAAGCTATGCTTTCACTGTGGCCCTTCGTAGGGCTAATTTAAGCAATAGAAGTCCTGGTCTTCCACAGCCACCAAAAAAGGAGCGGAGCTTACCGTGGTGGGATGACATGAGAAATTACATCCATGGAAATATCACCTTATTCTTTTCTGAAACTAAATGGAACATTCTTGCAACTACTGATCCTTATGAAAAGCTTGACAAACTTCAAATTGTTTCTGGTTCTATGGAGATTCAGCAATCAGATGGTCGTGTTTATGTTTCTGCAAAGGATTTTAAAATTTTCTTGAGCAGTTTGGAGAGTTTGGTAAATAGTCACAGCTTAAAACTCCCCGCCAGTGTATCCAGTGCTTTCCTTGAAGCTCCAGTCTTCAGCCTTGAGGTTACAATGGATTGGGAATGCGAGTCTGGTAATCCCATGAATCATTATTTGTTTGCACTTCCTATAGAAGGGAAGCCTAGGGAGAAAGTGTTTGATCCTTTCAGATCCACTTCTCTTTCCCTCCGATGGAACTTTTCTCTTAAACCCCTGCTTCCTGCATTGGAGAAACAATCCCCATCTGCCTCTGTGTCAGAATGCACTGTTCTGGATGGAACTGTAAATGGGGCACACTTTAAGGCTGAGAATGTTTCAATTGCTTCACCAACGGTGAATGTCGGTGCACATGATCTAGCTTGGATAGTTAAGTTTTGGAATATGAATTATATTCCTCCTCACAAATTGCGTTCCTTCTCTCGCTGGCCTCGTTTTGGAATTCCAAGAATTCCTAGATCAGGAAACCTGTCATTAGATAGGGTGATGACAGAATTTATGCTCCGCTTAGATGCTACGCCTACTTGCATAAAGCATATGACATTAGATGATGATGATCCAGCAAAAGGACTGACATTTGGCATGACAAAACTTAAATATGAAATCTGTTACAGTAGAGGTAAGCAAAAGTATACTTTTGAATGCAAGCGTGATCCTCTTGATCTTGTGTATCAGGGGCTGGACCTTCATGTGCCTAAGGTTTTTTTGAACAAAGAAGATTGCAATAGTGTCACAAAAGTAGTTCAAATGACAAGGAAAACTTCTCAGTCTGCATCCATAGAGCGAGTTCCTAGTGAAAAGAGTAATTATATGAGTGGTTGTACGGAGAAGCATCGTGATGAAGGATTTTTGTTGTCATCTGATTATTTTACAATCAGGAGGCAGGCCCCCAAGGCTGATCCTGCCAGGTTATGGGCATGGCAAGAGGCTGGGAGAAAAAATCTTGAAATGACATATGTCAGATCTGAATTTGAAAATGGGAGTGAAAGTGATGAGCATGTACGGTCAGATCCAAGCGATGATGATGGATACAATGTGGTTATAGCTGACAATTGTCAGCGTGTTTTTGTTTACAGCCTTAAACTGTTGTGGACAATAGAAAATCGAGATGCTGTGTGGTCATTTGTTGGTGGAATATCCAAAGCATTTGAACCTCAAAAGCCTTCTCCTTCGCGGCAGTATGCACAGAGGAAGTTATTCGAGGAGTATCAGAAACATGGTGACCCTGAAATGCCTCAAGAGGATACTTCTAAGTCCCCTTCTAGCAATCATGGTGTGGCTTCCCCTTCTCAACATGTGGAGACATCAGGACCTCATTCATCTCTATCACATGCAGTGGGGATGGAAAATTTGTCTACTTCTGCAGTTGGTATGTCTCAAGCTTACATTGAAATTTTAGTGCTGGTGAAGTTTTGTACTTCTGAATTCAAAGTGCCACAGATGTTAGCTCCATCAAAGACACATTTTTAGTTATAATTTTCTTGTCATGATTCTTTAACTTCCACTGATTACAGTTGATACTTGTTTATTTATCCTAGCACTAAATGATTCTGAAGAGGAAGGGACACGTCATTTTATGGTGAATGTCATTGAGCCTCAATTCAATCTTCACTCTGAAGATGCCAATGTGAGTTGTTACTTTTGCATTTATAAGCTTATTCATTCTTCACAACGCATATCTAAAAGAATAATTTGTCATTGCAAATATTCACAGTATTTCTTAAATTTATGAAATCATTGCTCGAGTTCACTACCTATATGTTAGGAAGGTCTTACAGTACATTAGAGATCTGTATGGTATTTTTTGTATTCCTCTTTTTAATGATTTGTTGATAGTCATCATCTTATGTTAGTCATTTTTTCAGTAAAATAACTTCTTTCATGTCTATCAGGGGAGATTTCTTCTTGCTGCTGTTAGTGGTCGTGTTTTGGCCCGATCATTTCATTCAGTTCTTCATGTTGGCTATGAAATGATTGAGCAAGCACTTGGTACTGGAAATGTTCATATCCCTGAAGGTGGGCATGACATGACATTGAAACGCATGGAGTTCTCTGTGATGCTGGAGCATGTCCAGGCTCATGTTGCACCAACTGATGTAGATCCTGGGGCTGGGCTACAGTGGCTTCCAAAAATTCGTAGTTCTCCAAAGGTCAAGCGAACTGGTGCTCTACTTGAAAGAGTGTTTATGCCTTGTGATATGTACTTCCGATACACAAGGCATAAAGGTGGTACCCCAGATTTGAAGGTAATGTGACATTTTCAAGGTATCTGTTTTGGCTAAGATGTCTATGTCTAAGTATTGTGGCACATTGATTACAAGTAAAAAGTAGTAAAAATAAATCTTTTATGAAGGACAACAGTGAATTAAAAAAATGAAGATAATGAGGAGAAATAACAGGAGAGTGCTATTTGTTTAATGCACAGTGTAGAATGAATAATGCTAGGAACATCCTGAGTTGGGCCATGTCCAACTTGTTGAAATTTGGAAAGAGAGTCTAGATTGTTGAGAGACCAACCTATAGTCTGAAGTTGCTATCTTTCACAGTGAATCAGTTCAATGCTGGGTAGTTTATTGAGCACTAGACTTAAATTTGCATATGAAATTATTTTCACTCTGTTGCAGGTGAAGCCATTAAAGGATCTCACCTTTAACTCTCACAACATAACAGCTACCATGACGTCTCGTCAGTTTCAGGTTATGCTGGATGTCTTAACCAATCTTCTTTTTGCTCGGCTTCCCAAGTGAGAACATGCCCCAGTTGTTTTCCTTTTGTTTCTTTGAAATTTCTTTTTTCTTTTTTCAGAACAGTGTCTCTTCTACGAAATTATAACATGTGCGGTTATTTATTGTAAGTTGCATGTGCATGTACTTTGGCCTGGTTGGATCTATTGGTTGGCAAATGTTGGACTAAAAATAAAATCTTTGTTTCTCCTTTCTTCTTTTGAAATAACAAGATTCAGCAAATGGATATTATTATAATAGCGTTTCTAAGTATACAAAATCAGTATTTGCCACCTCTAAAGGTGGGGCCAATCTGTGGATTTGGAATGTGCAGAACACCCTTGATGGATTCAAATCCAAATGTTAGATTTGGCATGAAAAACTTATTTGACCACAGCTTGCCATATTGTTGTTTGAAATTATGGATGAAACATTTGTTCACCTAGTATTAGGATGGTTCAAATTCTGCTCTACTTCCTTTCCCGCTTGTGTTTATTTTTCTGCATTTAAATGATAAATTAATCTTTGTGTTGCTGCTTAGTTTGATTTATTGTAGACCAGATATATGAAACAGAGTATAAGGATGGCCAGCACCTGGGTTTTCTTAACCTTACCAGGCCTCTTTTCCAAACTATCTCAGAAGCAATAAACATACATTTTGGTTTAGTGTTGCTATAATATATCTCTCAAAGTTGCTTTACACTTGTTGGCTAATGGTCTTAATAGTGATCTTTTGAAATGTAACCTATTCTTCCACTTCATATCTGTCATTTGGATGCAATTGTCTCTTATTTTTATTAATTTATTTGCATGATCTCTGCACTAAAAGACATTTTTGTATTTGGTACTGTTATATTCTTCCAAATTTAATGCAAGTTAAATCTGTAATTCAGGCCTCGAAAAAGTAGTCTCGCTTGTCCTGGCGAAGATGATGAAGATGTAGGGGAGGAGGCAGATGAGGTGGTTCCTGATGGTGTGGAAGAGGTAGAACTTGCCAAAATCAGCCTTGAGCAGAAAGAACGAGAGCAGAAGTTGCTACTCAATGACATTAAGAAGTTGTCTCTTCATTGTGATACTTCAGGAGACCTTCTGGAAAAGGAAGGTGATTGGTGGATGGTAAATGGTGGGAGATCTATATTGGTATGAAAATGAACCTTGTCAACCATCACTAAATATTACTTGTTTCCGTGTTTGCAGATTTATGCTCTCTTTGATTGTTCTTCTCAAAACTAGGATGTTAAAATAGTTAGGGGGCTTATATTATAAGCCAAGTTATATAAGAAAAGTGTAGAGCAGAATTTTCCTTTGTTCAATATATCAACTCCATTTTAAAATATGATTGAAAGAACTGGATTTGAAGTGTTGATAGATCAATGCTTGAGTACCTGAATTGATTATGCATGCTTGATTCCCTCTTCGTCTGGTCTGGGAAATGTCTCATGGTCCATGTTCCTGGAAATTATATTTTCTGTGGATCCCTTAAATTTCTGTCTGCAGTGAATGCACTGAATAACAGAGGGAATTCTAGTAACGTGTAATATAACTACAATGCACAGTCTTACTGGTTAAGGCTGAATACTCAGTTCCTTCTTGGGACACCTTTCCTATCAGAACCAATTTCTAAGGTGTTTTCTCTGCTGGTTATACCCATCACTCAAAAGTGTGGGTATCTATTATATTATGAATGTAGGATAATTTCCTTGAAATTCAATGTAAGTCAATAAATCACCCTTTATTTGACGATTATTTTGTAAGTATAACTTCATGAATGTTGGAAGATACTCCACCTACATGTTCAGAATCATCAAAGCTAGAAAAGGTGATGCCCATTTCTATTATTCTGTGGATCTGGCATTTCTTAAAAAATGCCCTTTGGACCTTAAAAGGATGTTTGTTGAGTTACAGACACTGATTATTGGGATAGGAGTGAAACTTGATAAGGTATTTTGGAGTGGCTGTTAATTGCTGCATGCACTGTGTTTTGTTTTTTGACTGTATCTCCTTTTATCTGCACTCGTTCTTACATCTGTTATTAATGGGTTCATTACAGTCTGGGCTGTGCATAATTTGTTTTTGTATATTGGTCTTCTAAGATTCCATATGCCTATTTGTTTATTGCTCTTTTAAGATACAATGTGATTGGTTGTTATACTTTAGCATGCAACAGATTTTAAGCTGTATGAACTTGATTCGTATAGGTGCAAGGACTGAAGAGAGAACTTGTCAATGCAAAAAAATTTAGGAAGGCAGCATCTGTATCCTTACGGGTTGCTTTGCAGAAAGCTGCTCAGCTACGGCTAATGGAGAAAGAAAAGAACAAAAGTCCATCTTATGCCATGCGAATTTCTTTGCAAATTAACAAAGTTGTATGGAGCATGCTTGTGGATGGTAAATCATTTGCTGAGGCCGAGATCAATGACATGGTGAGTTCCTGAAGATGATGACAAGTTTGTTTGCTTTATGCTTATACTAGTGAAGTATCAATTGATACCTTCCTTTATCACTTGATGGCGGTTGTATTTCTGATTACATTTGTTGTCCTGAACTAACGGCAGGTCGTAGTCAAGCCATGTGCTTAGGTGTAAAGGCACAAAGCAAACCCCCTACCTCCCAAATAAAACAATTACAAATTAAGAACATCTCCGCGCACCACTCCATGTGAGGTTCCCTTGCTCAAATGATAATTCTGACAAAATAAGTTATCAGGATAAATATTAGAATCATCAAACAAATTTTTGGAAAATATTAGAGGGAAGAAATATTTGATTAATCCGTAAATTATAACTTTTTATAAAATTTTTCATGGAAAACATACATAGATATATTTTCTATATGTCACTAATATTCCTAGATCCAATACAGAACGTTTTTTCTTGAATCAACCCAAAAAAAAATAGTGAGAAGTTCATTTATAATAATGAAGCAAGTCAAGAAAGAATTAATAAAACAAATAGAAATATAATTCGTTTTATTTCAACTATTGTACTTGCTCATAAGGCACTATTTTTAAATTGCCCTCCTCTTTTTGAATCTTTCTGTGGGCTGTAATTTTGTTTGACCAGTGAGATAAGGCAGGTATCTTTTACAGGAGTAAGAAAAGGACGATAACATCCATTTATATCTTGTTGAAGATGGATGTGAACTTAGAGCTTGAGTTTGATAATGACTTTTAGTTAGTTTGGATAGTGCCTGTTTTTGGAATACATTAGAAAATGGTTGGAGTCAACATTTTAACTTGTATTAACAAAGATATATATTTGAAGTTTGTTTAACGTATTAAACATAAATTTTTTGTTTTTGATTGATCCTCATTTCGGAAATTAGTTCCTTGCTAGCATGGGCGTATGCTAATTCTGCACCTTGCACCTTTGACTACTTTAGGGTTGATATTGATTTTTCTTTCCATTGCTTTGTTTTAAGTTAATTCCATAAAGGAATCACACTTAAGTAATGTTTGCTTTGAGGATGCTATCTTACAGTTTATTCTCCTGTTATTCATGCAGATTTATGATTTTGACCGCGATTACAAAGATGTTGGTGTTGCTCAGTTTACAACTAAGCATTTTGTTGTGAGAAACTGCCTGCTTAATGCCAAGTCTGATATGCTTTTATCAGCGTGGAATCCTCCTCCAGAATGGGGAAAGTACACACTTTTTCCTTGTCTCTGTTGCTTCGTCATGCCTTTAGATGTTTTTCTAGTTTAATTAGTTGTGACTACTTTTATGAATATTTATGATTTTTTTTCTTTTTTTTTGGGTTTTATAGTTATATTGACAGCACCCCTCATCCCAACCTCAACAATCCCCATATGTTTAAATCCCCAATTTTGGTTTTCCCTATGCGAATAGAACCCCATCTTGTGTTAGCTTCTATCTTAAGGTCCACTGGTTTTGCCACCAATGCTTATGATACCTTTCTGCTGTCAGCAACTTGCTCTATTGTTTTGTGAATGTGGTCATTTTTTAAAGAATTTTTATTTATAGACTTGCTTTACAGAAGTTCGTACTTGATGTCAATAACTTGTGGGTTTTCATTTGATTGTGTGGGGGAGCCATGAATGTGTGTGAAGATTTTGGATTAAGTACCTCAGCAAATGTTATAATAATTCTTTAGAAGATCTTGATATCAACTTTCCTGGTTGCAGAAAAGTCATGCTTCGTGTGGATGCAAAGCAGGGAGCTCCAAAGGATGGAAACTCTCCTCTAGAGCTTTTTCAGGTAACAATCAGTTTTTTTATTTTTTTTTTCCTTTCGAAGCCATTGTTTATGTGTGTGTGTTTCTAGAATGTAGAATGACTGTAATACACAACATATGAAACTCTTAGCCCCGCACCTTGTTCATAAATTTGTTCTAGCTGCATCCACTTCCTCATTTGAACTTTGATTAGAACATTTATTTGCATCCACATGTCAATGGTACATTGACATGTGTAGGATCTCTGTAGAGAAGATATGGTAACTATTATGCTTATAGACAGATACGTATTTCAAAATCTCTTATTTTTTCAATAGTCTCCCTCTACTCCAAGGAGTTGGTCTTACAGATTAGGGAAGGAAGAATGGAACTAAAAGCTGAGTGAAAAGGTTTTCATAGCAGTGTGAGGGATCATAGCTATATTGGCACTGTGAATATGATCAAAATAAGTGCGTGCAGGATATATGATGACATCTGGAATTGATGCATCAACACGAGCGTACATATTTAAGCATAAAAAACTGTCAGCAATCTTCGAGATATAAGATTGAGAAGAGAAACAAGATGCAAGGTAGACAAAGAAGGGAGAGAGGGATCTTGGTGATCATGCTTTTGGCCCTTGATTCCCTGAGCATGCATTGGAACTGAGTTTGAGAGACTGCTTGATAATTGAGCAGCTAGGGTCTTGTACATAGTTGTCTATTGCAGCAAATGCAAGAGCATCAAGGCATCATGCCTTTAGGGTGGCCCGGGCCAGTTGTGGGGGAGCTTTTCTTATACATACGGATTACTCCTCAGGGCACATACAGTTGATATAGTACTTTTGTTCTATCATGTGTAGACCTGCAAGCTATTTGTATTGCAAATAAGCAGTTTGTCTTATTTTCTTATTAAATCTTAGAGACATTTGTGGCTTTGATGAACTATTATTAACTAAAGTTGACACAAGCTATTCTTTTTTACTGTAGGTAGAGATATACCCACTTAAGATTCATTTGACGGAGACAATGTACAGAATGATGTGGGAGTATTTTTTCCCAGAAGAAGAACAAGATTCACAAAGACGACAGGTTAGTTTTGGGCTTTATATCTTTAAATTGGTATGCAAATTTTTAGTGCAATTGGTGAGTGTCCTTATGCTTGGAAGTTTGGAGATGCAGGAAGTTTGGAAGGTCTCCACAACTGCTGGTGCAAGACGTGCAAAGAAGGTCTTCTCAAGCCATGATGCTTCTGCATCAGGCAGCCACTCAACAAAGGAGTCTGAGATATCATCCAAACCAAGTGTGTCTACTACGTCTGTTACCAGTCAGCCTGTTCCTGCTGAGTCTGCCCAAGTGAGCATCCTTATGTTTCCCTACCTTGTAGTTGTCATGGCTACATATTGATATATTTAAGTCACTGGATTCCTATATAGGTTTTGGATCTTCATATTTCTATGCTGTAAATTTTGTAAACACTTTTTGGCACCCACATGCAGGCGTCAAAGTTGCAAAACCTAAAGGCAAATGTTGTTTCTGGTTCTGGCCCTGAGTTGCGGAGAACGTCTTCTTTTGACAGAACATGGGAAGAGACTGTTGCAGAATCTGTGGCTAATGAACTTGTCCTACAGGTTCACTCCTCCAGCATTTCTTCCACAAAAAGTGGGCCACTAGTTTCCTTGGAGCAACAAGATGAATCCTCCAAAAATAAAATGAAAGACACAAAATCTATTAAGTATGGTCGGTCATCTCATGAAGAGAAGAAGGTCGGAAAATCCAATGAAGAGAAAAAATCTAGGCCTCGGAAAATGATGGAGTTTCACAATATCAAGATAAGTCAGGTTGGTTCAGTTAATTTTAATTGATTATCCCTTGTTTTCTATTGCCATTATTTGGCTTTTATCGTCATATGTTTTTGTTGCCTGCATTAGGTTGAGCTACTAGTTACATACGAAGGGTCCAGATTTGTTGTAAATGATCTCAAGTTGCTGATGGATACATTTCACCGTGTTGAGTTCACCGGGACTTGGAGGAGATTGTTCTCTCGAGTAAAGAAGCATATTATATGGGGAGTCCTAAAGTCTGTAACTGGAATGCAGGTAACGAATCTTGATTACACTCTGGTTAACCTAACTTCAAATCCCCTTAATCTGAATCTTCTCTTACTTTATGGTCACTGGTCTCTATGTTCTTCGTAATGATTTATCTCACAATGAACTATGATAATAACTGCAATAAGACAGGAGGGCAGTCAGTGCTAGTAATTAGAATTTGCAACTGTTAAGGTGTCATTTGTCACACCAGGATGATGTTGGGGGGGGGGTGGGTCTGGCGGGGAACTGGGGCTTCGGTGCTGTGGGAGCCCAATCACACCACCCTGGTGTGCTAATGGGGCCCAATTGTATTTGCAAGTATGGGGAAGCTTAATTTATTTGTTAAACCATTAAGGTTGGAATGTGGATCTGCTAACGGTCCTATTTATTTGTTATTTGGTAGGGTAAGAAATTCAAAGACAAAGCACATAGCCAACAGCCAAGTGGAACTGGTGTTCCTGATAGTGACCTCAATCTCAGTGACAATGATCAGGTTGGGAAATCTGATCCATATCCAATAACATTTATTAAGCGTCCAAGTGATGGAGCTGGTGATGGATTTGTCACTTCCATTAGAGGCCTCTTCAACACTCAACGTCGCAAGGCCAAACAATTTGTGTTACGAACTATGAGAGGTGAAGCAGAGAATGATTTCCATGGGGAGTGGAGTGAAAGTGATGCAGAATTCTCTCCATTTGCTAGGCAGCTGACCATAACAAAAGCTAAGAGACTTATCAGGCGGCACACAAAGAAGTTCCGTTCAAGGGGACAGAAAGGTTTGTATGGTTTTCCTTCTTTATATTCTTGTGGAAATGAAAGACGCAAGGTATTTCTCATTTTAGTTTTGCTCAAACACTGGTGTAATCCTTGAGGTTGTCCCTACCAGGGGTTGAGAAATTTAGGCTGACTTTGTTCTGGTTCAGGTTCATCTTCTCAACAGAGAGAATCACTTCCATCATCTCCAATGGATCCAATGGAGACCACTCCATTCGAAACTGACTCTTCCAGTGGATCCTCACCCTATGAGGATTTTCACGAGTAGAGCTATCTTTCATCAACAGAAGGGGATTGTTTGAAGGCCTAGAGTGGAGCAAACAGTATGTGATATGCAAATATGCCCGACTGACAGAGTGCTGCAGGACGGGGATGAATGGAACTGAATTTCAACTAAAATGCAACCTTGCATGAAGACAGACTCGAGATGTTGCTGACTTCAAATAAAAGCTGGCTGCAACACATCAACTATGAAAAATATGAAGGTATGCCTGCTTGGTTATTGACTATGGATGTACTGGTTGATGATACCTTCTATGGTGATTGAGCTTTAAATGCCTGGTTAGATCATGTTTGCTCTGTAACCTGCGCATTCGGCCTGATACAGAGAAGTGCTTCAAGCAGTTCTAATCTGTCAATTTTGTAGGTTTTGGGTAGAAAAAAAATAGTTATACACGAGCTATCGAACCCTATAATTTTGTACATATATTTAAATAATATATATTGGAATAGAAATAAATGTGAAAGTTTCTCTCGATTTGAACAGTGAATAATCATAGGCATTAGATAGAATATTCTGTTCCGTTAAATTTGGTCTTGCCATTGCCTTTTTGTAGTGAAAAGATGCTATTTGAATGACCCGTTGTACAGGGTTGTCCGTTATTTTTTAAGCACTGAACCTGAATCCCGATCTGGACTTTGTTAAATTGCAAAGTATACGAACTTTATTATTATTGGAATAAAATTTAAAAAATATTTTCCAAACTTGTACCTTAATATCTTAAAATTACTCGTTAAATATTTAAACCTGTTTAAGTACTAATGGAAAAACAAAACAATATATATATATATATAAAATATTTTATACATAATTATTTATGAACAAGCTCAGATTTTGAGTATTTAGAAGGTGATGTTAATATCTTATCAAACTCAAGTCAGGTAGTAAAATTACTAATCGAACTTGTTTCAAATTTAAATATAAAATACTTAAAAACTTTATATAATTAGATAAAACACCTACAAATATCGAGTTAAAAGATATATATTATCATCTTTACCTTTTAATGTATTCCCAACGAATTGTCTTGCTTGCATGACAACAGCTCATTATAACTTACATCCCACTTGTATATTTCTAAATCTTACACATTCATTTATCTAGTAATAATTAACCAGGTTTGTTTTGTGTAATGGTGATTAACCTGTTGCATTAATCAAAGTTGTCATTAGCGATGCACACCCAAACAATTTGGCTTGGTAGCTCATATTGATAGAACAAGGACACCCTGCAAACAAATCCCAAAAGATTTCCACAACTCCATAGTAAGTAATTTTTACCTATTGGAATTTCTATCTTTCATGATATCCAGAGGAACTTTTAGGCAGGAATATCTTTTTCAGAAATCATTATACATGGTTTTCATGGGAAGATAAAAGATCATTTTCTTCAGTAGACAATCGCCTCTTCCTTCAACTCCTAATCTCCCACTTTCCCTTATTAATAACAGGTTTAACAATTATCTCCGATCCCATCATTTGGGCAGCAACTAAAAATCACCTGTACTGAAACTGCCCAAGTAGACACAACGTATATCACAGCATCGTGGGATGCCCTTTTTCTTGCTTAATCGAATCCCTACTTAAAAGGCCACGATATCACGAAGTACAAAGGCTCCGCCAAGCAAACTAAGCATCACACAAACTAATCTTTTTTAAGTCCTAAGAAATAAATCACATATTTATAAACGGGTAAAAGCATTCTGGCATTCTTTCCTAACAAATTGTACACAGATTTCAGCACTTATATCAACAAGGAGAACCTTCAGAGTATCTAAAGTCAGCCTGAAAGCAGCAGCATGTCTTTCCCAGTCACTAGCTGATAACTGTACTTAGGATTCAATGTCAAGCCGGTTTCCTAATTATGGCAACTCACAATCTGCTATGTTGGACTCCATATAAACATCATAAATGTCGACCTGTATGAAGCACAAAGACATGAGAGAAACCAACTGGGTAAAGTGTCTAATACCCACATCCCCTTAAATTTATTGGAGCAAAGCCAATTGTAACCTTCTAATCAAAATTAGAAGGAATGCTGATTTCTGTATCAGAGGGATTAGCAAGCTCAACCAGAGGTTCCTGCAGATTGCAAATATATTAGGAGATATTCTATCAGTCTGAAAAACATCAAATTCGTAAAATCCTCATTGTGGAATTATTTGAAAAGATGTGAATGTGATCATACGTGTACCAATTAATAGCAAACTTTATTTGAAGGTGGACTAGAAAACAAAATGATTCAATTTCTGATTAGAGCTATAAGAAGGCAGAACAATGTCTAATCAAAGACCATTGTGCTCAAGGAATTATAAAAAACAAACTTTTTTAATTTCAAGAGAACTAGTTCTGCAAACAGAAAGACCACAGTATTCTCTCAATAATTTGTAATGTTATACCTGCTCATCATCATCTGCAGAGGGATGGACAATTCCCATAGGTAAGGAGTTTGTAAGATCTTCTGCACTTTCATGCAAATCCTGCACCATGTGAAAACGCAAGTTACCAAGAAAGAGAATATATTACCTATTAGACTGGATCAATAATTTATTTCAATTCTGAGGATTGTTCTGCTGAATCTTGGTCAGTGGCTTCAATATGTAAATAAATATCCACCTAAAAGACAAAATATAAGATTTAAGAAATTGTCTCTTCTCAGAACCTATGCCCCCTAAAGATCCTACCCAGCTGGGATGGCCCAATCATATACAAAAAAGAATCCAATAGATAACACCAATCGATAAAAGGGGTGGCAGATAAGAATTTGGCATTCAAGTCAATAATTCTGGTGAAGTATCCACAATAAATCGACTAATAAATGAAGAAGTATGAAGACCATCAATAGTTGAAAATCACATTTACATATTATCCAGAATTGAGTTTCCAGGCACTACATTAGGGATTAAGAAAAATCTGGTGACTTTTCTCTTAAAGCATACTTTTTGTTCAAATAATCCCCTTTTAAGTCCACATGACATGTGGTACATGATACGATTTTTTTCATCTCAAAATAGAAACATGTGAATTCAAGATAAGTTAGGATCCAAAAACATACTTCTTCATCTGGGTTGATAGAAGCATTATTGGATCCATCAGTGACATCCTTTGAAGGATTTCCCTGCATAAACTTCATATCATGTTAGAATGAATGAAACATGTGACAACCTCAAAAGGCTTGATCATAATACATAGAGAAGAGTATTATGTACATGTTCATCCTGGTTACCAGGGAAGTCCCCTTCCATAATTGAAGGCTTGACATCAATTGGTGTTTCCTGCATACAATTTATATTAATACATTCAACCAATCTTGACCACAGTAGCAGGTAATAAAAATAAATATTTGTAAAGTTGAAAATACTCCAGTGACACTTACAGGTTCAGTTTGGTCCATGGAAATATTCCTTCCTCCTTTACTGAGATCTCTCAGTGTCCCCTGTATGGTCAACAAAACAGTTAAGGGAAATGATAAATCACTACAAAAAAACGATTGTTGAAAATTATTACCAACATTAGCAACATTCCAAAGACTATTCTGAGGCATAACTACACAAGATGATGCTTAATAAAGAATACTATGGGGAATAGCATGCAGTTTCAACTATTAAATAGAAATAATAGGCCACAAAACTAACAAAATCATGCTTAGAATCAAACATCCTTAAGGAAAGCATCATTCAAAACTAAATTTAACAAACCTTATTTGCCCACATAAGCCCACAAGCGTTACATAAAGTCCTTGGACCAGCTGGACCTCGACGCATTGCTGGAGTATTATTTTCACTAACACCACAATGTTGACATCTCCGAACACTAAAACACATTGAAGATAGTATTCATCAAAAGGTTCTTCATGATAAACATTGCCAAATAACTTAATAGTGTGCAAGCTAGGAACTCACACAGTTTCTGGATGAGGAGTACCATCTTGAACGCCAGTTTGCGAAGAATCCCAGCTTGAAGCACTAGTACTTTCCTTTAAAGACGCAAACTGTCCATTTTTACGATGCATCCTGCCAGGATAAACAGAGAAGAAGATTAAAACACCATTATCAGCTGCACTGCTACCACTGGAATATATGTTAAAAGAGTAGCAATACATTTAACACTAATATATATGGCTCCTCTCAATGACTCATCTCAACTCACTATTCCATTATTCTAATAAAAAAATAATCAATACATTAAATTGTAAAATTGAAATAACCAACTAAACAAGGCACATCAAAGTCCCAGCCCTACTTTATGCCTGCTTCTTTCATGAGAGAGAACCATAAATACATGGAAGCTTCTTACATTAAAACTAAAACAAGACCAACTGTTCCCGCTATTAATCACACTTCTCACAAATGGCAGCCTATAGTAAACTCCCATAGCTTTTACGCTGCTCCCAAAATTTTTGAATAATTGATAGTTCTTCTGTCATTTCCATTTTTAACTTCTATATCAAAGGACAACCTCAATCCCGCTGGTTTCATAAGTTAAAAATGTTAAATTTCAAGATGATGGTTGCAGATATAAACAAAATAAGTGCGAAAAATTCATACCTCTGTGCAACTTCTTTCCGTACGGTATACCTAATTTTCTTGTCAAAACATCTCTCTTTCCTCTTCTCACGGAACCTAACCAAGGATGCGATTCGTCTTGAAAGATTTGAGCGCTTTGGAAGATCACCTACACCCTGCCCAAATATTGTATATGAAACAAAAACACAAAATAGAGTAATTGAATATAATTACTCATAATTATTTTAACATCAGCAATACCCTGTTATTTTGATCAAAAGGTACTTCAATTGTTGGAACACCAGTGGGGATATCACGACCGCCCAGGAGTAACAGCACAGCTTGCACCTGTTGCATGCAATCCAACAAACACATGTACTTTAGAAAAAAATGGAAGAAACTCTAAACCAGTAAATCCATTTAAAGAGTACTATAGCAAAATAAATTACTTATTGCTTGAACAGTAAAAAGAAGCATGTAGACAGCAAAAACAAACAATTCCTCGAAAAGAAAAAAGGTGGTTAAAACTCTGATGCACAAAATCCATTAAAGACTAACTATAGTAAAATAGTAAAAGATCAGTAACTTCACAGATGAAAATACAGATTAAACCAGAAAAAACATAATTACCCAATCAGATGTGGAGAATTTAATTGCAGTCCCACTTCCCAACTAAATATCAAAAGACAACTCTTAGCTAGAGCAGGACAGCAAAGCATGGAATTGGATTGCAAATCAAAAGTATCAGAAGTGATGATCAGCAAAGACAGTTTTTTGGTTTCCATAACTCAGTCTATAACTGTTCAATAAACTTACTTTAACTAACTGCTAAAATAAACATTAATTAAATCCGTCAAACAGATCCTAAGAAATGAATTTAGCCTTTGCAGTCCGCAGGATAAACTTCTTATTCAAGCATCTTTAGGGGAAAAAGGGCCACTTTGTTGCTTCTCCAGCTAACTTGGTAACATGCTCACGTCAAAAAATTACCTAAAATGAGAATAAAAAAGGAGAGGTTGGGGGGGGTGGGGCGCGGGTAAATCCGAAATTCGAACTTTGCAAAACAAATAGAATAGCAAATATATACATTTATATTATTAACAAAATCAAACAAATATGTAAGTAATAATAAGGAGACATTATGTTTGAAAGCAAACAAAAACCTTTTCAGGTGTAACAGCAGGGAATACGTAAACTTCTCCTTCAAAAGAGAGAGTAAGCTCGCTAGTTCTCGACGCCATAACAACGCCTCCACCAGCTCCACCACCGCCACCACTAACGCCGCCTACCACTCCTATTCCATGCTCCGCCACATTCACGGAGTTGACATTTGCGTCCTCCACGTCGTCCATGGCGTCATCTTCGTACTCTCCATCGTCGTCCTCGATCTGTATCGTCCCTTGGGTGTGCTCCTCAAACAGACGCGCCTGCAGTGGCTGTGGATTCGCAGCCGCCATATATAAACCACAAAAGGAACAACCAAAGGCCGCACCGTACCAACTGCACCGAAAATCGAAGCCCTGGGCTACGGATTATCACCTGTTTCATTGAAGAGCCATGGCTTCCGTCTGGTTACTGGTTAGACAAATTTTCTTTTATTCTTTTTTCGTCTATATTGTTTAATTTCTAAACCCTAACCCTAGATAGAGTTTTTCTCAGCTTGAATAAGAAGAAGCATCGAATTTGGAAGAACAAAATGAAAGAAAAAAAATTAAAAATTAAAAAGAAAAAAATATATAAAAGGTTGAAAAGTACCCTAAATATAGCTAAAGATTTGCAGGGGCGTGAACCGTGTTTCCTTAGAGACACTCAAATTGGAAATTCCTTCTCTCTCTCTGTCTCTCTTTCTTTTCTTTTCTTTTTTTCAATTTTTTTTTTTATTTTTTATAGAAACAGAATGTATTGTCTCGTTGAGAATTACTATTTCCATTTTCCATATATAAAAGAAAAAAGAAAAAGGCCATTGTGATTGGGTGTTACGCGGGAGCATCGGTGTTAGGATATGTAGGGATAAAGTGGGGTCCAGCGGAGTTGATGGATCACATGGGTTTGTGGTGATGAATGATGGAAAAACTTTGGAAAGGTGGGCCCCAATGATGGTGGCAATTTGGGAATACGAATAAAAAAAATCCAATGGGAATATAATTATGAATTTTTCTTTTTGGAAAAGTAAGAGTCAGTGAGTAAGTATAATGATTATTTGCAACGAGGGGACTAAATTTGGCACTATTTCGATAATGTGATGACGTATCAAATTGGATATCGATAATAATAATAATAATAATAATATCATTGGCCTAACTTTTATATTAAAAAATTTTTTATTTTATTTTAATTCGTTTTTCTATGACAAATTAAGAAGCAGTTTTATTGCTTCTAATAGTCATATTATGAAACACGAGTTGAAGTGTAATCTTTAAACTGGCAAACTCTCTTTTGCTGTTTTGGTAACGGTGACTATTATTACCCATGAGTAGAAGAACAGTTACGATAAGTCAATGCCTGACAAATCTGACGACATAACTATTTCTTTTTATTGAAACATGACATGGTTAAATTAGATGTTCTAACATCTTACAGAAAAGAAAAAATAATTTAAATTCAGAAATTTGATAAAAGTAAAAGGATGAAAAGTTGTGAACTGACACCGACGGAAATTAAGCTTGTAATAAAAACAGTGAGTTAATACTATTTGTATGCTTGCTTTTCAAAAAAGAAGAAATATTATTGTAAGCTCCAATTTGGCCAGATTAGTTTTGACCTCCTTTGGGAAGATACGTCTAGTTTCTGAATTGGTAAAAAAGCTTTCCAGCTTTTGGACAGCATAGATCTCGACATCCTGCCAAACCAAATGCATCTGCTGCTTCAGATAAGGAATTTGTTCGCCTTTTTTGGGGATAACAGTGGATGAGGAAATCTCGTGTGCCGGGGACAACGAGAATCAAAGTGACAGCACTTCCAAACCTCAAGAGGTCAACTGTGGGAGACGCACAAGTCAGGAGGTCAAGACAAGGACACTACGCCGCTGCTGGTGGTCAACGAATAATCACATCAAACGAAAGAATAAAACCAGCAGAACTACCACGTTATACTGCTTCACATCGAGACATTCCATAGTTGATTGTCTGGTTGGCTGGCAGTGGCAGACGGTCGGCCTTGTTGCCTTCAAGTGGATAGCAAAATGTAGTATCATAAATATAACCAACAGTGATCCACCCCTTTCTTCCTTTAGTCTCGTAAGGTAATCTTGCCAGGTTCACCTTCAGGAAAATGATATAGAACAGAACAAGGCACAAAATATAAACTCCAATTGATATTATAAGTTGATTATCCATCCTTTACATTAACTAACAGGCATTTGATTGAAATATAGAAGAGATTTGGATAGTCCATCCAGAGCAACAGTTCTTGGGAGGGGATAATATATTAGAGCTTATGGCCGATGAAAATTACCCAAGGTAATCACTGAGAGCTTGAAGATTCATGTGATACATCCGGAAGAAGTCTGTCTTAAAGAGGTAATCTCGTGCAAAGCTACTAACTGAAGGAATAGGAGGAGATATAACCTCGTATATTGATAAAGCAACTATATTATCTGTACATATAAGACAAGTTTAAAAGAAATTACTAATAAAGACCTAGCTGACACAATTGACCATATTGGCACAGATGTATTAGTGCTCGGCAATTAGAGCTGAGGCATCGCCATTTGAGAAAGAAACTACATTGCTTTGCGTGGGGATTGCAGTTCCACAATCTGAGTCATTTGCTTCACTTTCACCCTATATCAGAAAAAGCATGCAAACCCACATTTATATTGCAGGAGTATAAGGGGACAAATTAGAATAGAGGTCAAGAAGCCCAGTAACAAGTTATACCTGCTCAACTGGAGTCAGGGAATGATCCTGCGTTTTCTTCGGAATATCCCTCAAAGTACCCTACATGAAGTTCAATCATAAAAACTCCAAAGAAGCAGCACACTGAATGCTCAGCAGAGGAGAAAGAAATGATAACATCAAAAACTCAAAGCAAATTTATAAGTAAATGCGCATAAAGCAGCAGTGGATAAAGCTTAAAAGCAAGATTCAATACTAGAGAGGTAAACAATGGGCTTAGTGGGAGCAAATGGCATTCCCTGTCCCCACCACATTGGCAGACCTTCCCAACCTGCATCCCTGAATCAGAGATACTGTCACCCCCACCTTAGACGGTGACAAAAGTTCTTATCCCTGCCCAATCCCCTAATAATGGATGAGAGCAAAATACTTTCTTGATAGAGAAATTTTTGTGTGCGTGTGTAGGTGAGAGAGAAGGGTGTCAGCAATAGGAGAAGGCAGAGAAGTCTAGAAGAAGTAAAAAACTAGTGCAATCCTGTACGTACACAACAGATTATATTATATATTATATTATTGCATAATGCGCAAGGCAGAGACAGGAACTGCATACCCCATCCCCATCATGTGCTACCCAGTCAAGGATTGAAGTGCATTCCTCATCCCCATCATTGTGTAAAATGTGTTTTTGTGCATATAGCAGAAACAGAGAGAGGAGAAGGAAGGGGAGTTGGTGGGCACCTAATTCCTATCAAAGGCTTGAGATCAATTAGGAAACACAGCCCAAGTAAATGAACTAAATGAGAAAGTTAGACACCAAATATGAAATGCAGGAGGTGTCTTAAAGAGTATTCCGATTGAGGTAAGTTGCAGAAGACTCATTTGATGTAGGATCTTAAGTTCAACACTATATGAGGTAGAAAGCAAAGAATAGGGCTTAGAATTTGGGATATTAAACCTATATTCCTTGACAATAACTTTATAGAGTGAGATGCCATTAAAACCTTTTAATTGGAATATTAATTGCAATCAATCCCAATTAAAAAAATCTTTAAGGAGTAGTTAAAAGTGACTAGCACATCTAAAACTACCCAATGTATGAACAGAACAGTGATGGCGAATGTACCAACAGAATCATGTGGTATCAAATTTTCTCAATTGTAAATCAGAAACATGGACAAAGAGAAGAAATGTGAACTATCAATCAAAGCAGAGGCACCAACCTTGTTTGCCCAAAAAAGTCCACAAGCATTGCATAGAGACCTTGGACCTGATGGACCTCGTCGCATCATTGGGGTGGACTTTGAGCTGATGCCACAGTGTGTACACCTGAAAAAGGGAGAAAATGACATTATATAATAACTCCAATTATATAATTTATTTGATATTCTACCAAAAAATTGTAAAAATTATATAAATAAATAGAATACCCTTTAAAAGGGAGAAATGATAAATATAGTGCAGTATGTGTGGAGGTAAAAGAAGAAAACACATTTGCCAGATTTTCAAGGAAAGAAGCTGCAAAGAATAACACTCTGGAAACTGGTAGAAAACTCACGAAGTATCTGGTAGGTTATCATCCTGTCCTGAATCCTGAGAAGTACCCCAGCTGTAAGCTCCATCAGACTTCTTGGAAGATGTAAATTGGCCCTTATTACGCTGCATCCTGATGCACTCATAGAAATCAGAAACATGAATTTTCCAAATACAGAACAAATAAAAAATTGTCAATAACAGTGCCTTCTGAGTTTTCTAGATTCCTTTTCAGTTAAATTAAATACCCTAAGATAAAAAATACGAATTCAATTTCCATGGATTCAGTTATATATATATATATATTCTTAATTATACAGTTACTTAATCAGTTACACTTTGCTAGAGATGTAAACTTTCCCAAAAGGATAAAAAGGCATCCTCTCCCATTTCTCCACGTGTTGCTCCTATTACACAGAGACCAGACAATTAAACTTTCAAGGAAAATATTATTCTTATCCATTGTTTATATTCTTTAATTTTTTTTCCCTTTTGTGAGACCTTTACTTGTAGCATCATCAATTTCTTGCACATAAGAAGTATGTCTAACTGAAAACAGTTTAAAGAGACAGTATCAGTTAAATTTGCTTGACTATAACAGTTTAAACATTTTGTTTCCAGTTTAGAATAACATTCCCTGATCATCAATATTTTTTAGAATACCATATTACTACTTCCTGTAGATATTATGCTCATCAAATTTTGTTGATTGTGTTTGATAATTTTGGAGCAAAATGGACAATCTGACGTCGGTCACGAGCAAGAAGACCATCCATGCATTAATAATGACACTCAAGAATACTAACGGGTTAGAGAAAAAAACATCCTTAGATGGTTTGATGTTCTAAGGTATATTTCCTTGTTACGTTGTAACACCAGATTTGTAAATCTATGAGCACTATTTTACCACAATCTCCCTCCAATTTTGCTAAAACCTTTAGGGTAGATATGCCTATAGAAGACTAAAGGATGCTGCAATATTTCATATTAATAAGATTCCTTAACAGTCAATACAACTTAATAAAGGTTATCCATCCGGGCTATACAAGTATGTCATGATGATTAATTATCACCCTCTAAAATTTGATGGTAATTTATTTTTATCGTCTCCCGACGCTGAATGTGTTGTGTCACTCTTTATAAAGATCCTTGCATTGTTCATTAACATAGCATGCATGAAAACAGTGAAATAATCTAACACTAACAATGTATGCAGTAATAATAAATTAAAAAAAGCAGCTAAAGAAAAAGATTAAAATGCAAGGATCATGTGCACTACTAGCATATGATAAAAGGCAACATAACTTGACATAACTACAAAATGTTATGATAAAAATCATTCACTTTGGCCATTTGGTAGAGCCAACATATCTCTCATAGTTCTAAACCACACCCTCCTCAAAATCCTAACGCTCAATAAATCCCCAAACCTCTAAAGCCCATTGTTACTATACTACTACTAGTTTCCAACCTAAGTTGTTATCATCAAATTGCAAAACAATAAAAGCAACTGTTCTAGTTATTTTAGCAAGTGCAGCTTGCTAAACTAACTGCATTTCAAGGAAGAAGAATACACACCTAAGAGCAACTTCTTGGCGAACACTATATCTGACTTTCTTATCAAAGCACCGCTCTTTTCTCTTCTGACGGAACCTATCTAAGGATGCTGCCCTGTGCGGTTGAGTAGATCGACTTGGAAAGTCCAAAACACCCTAGACAGATAAAAAAGAAGATAAAATAAAAACAATAGACCCAATTTAATCTCTCAATTCAACAAATTAACAAAATTACCCTTTGGTTCTGAGATGACATTTCAACACCATGGGGACCTGAAGCCAGTTCACATCCACCCAGCAGCAATAACACCGCGTGAAACTGCAAAAATTCGATTCAAAATGAAAATCTTTACAATGTGCATTTCAATGGGAAAAAATATAGAAACGAGAAAGATGAAAAGTGTGGTCCTGAAGTTGCATTTTGCTTTGATAACTTAAAATAAGTGGATACGAAGTCATATCTCTCTCCAACTTAACCGGTTCTTCAAAAATCAAACATGTCCGCAAACCCTAATGGGCTTAATTGAAGAATTTTTTTTTTAAAAAAAAGACGATACCTTATCAGGAGTAATAGCATCGAATACGTAGACCTGGCCGCGAAACGAGAGGGTAAGTTGGCTGGCGCCATCGACTCGCTGAACCGCCGCCAAGTCAGAGGCGGAAGCAACGGCGGCAGAGACATAGATGGGATCGTTGGCAACGTCCTCGACTCCGACGCCGTCTTCGAGGGGGTGAGCGTCATAACTTACGCTGTGGTGATTATCGGCGGAGGCGGAGGCAGAGACGTCATCATCGACGTCGGCGCCGGAGCCCACGATCTGGGCGGGGATGTTCATGGGCTGAGACTGTCCGTACATTGAGCAAATTGGGGATTTTGAAGCATTACAGTCAGAGGGGAAAAGAAACAAAATAAAGAAAGTGAAAGGGAAGAACCTAACTTATTAATAACAACTAAAAGAGTGAAAAAAAAATAAAAAAGGTTATTGGTTTTTTTTTTGGTTTTGGGGAGAGTTTTAAAGAGGAATGGAATCTATGCCTGAGAAAAAGAAAGAAAGTGTTAGCGCCGAGGAGTGTGTTTTTTCTGAGAGAGAGGCCAGACAGTGAGGGACAGCTCAGGACAGGACGGAATGGGTGAGATTCAATTAACACCCATTTATTGATTTATTTACGATTATATTCCTCTCATTCAGGCAGAGGCCCATACTTTGATATTTATTTTGTGGATTTTTAATGGGCTTGGTCCTTCCTAATTTCCAAGCCCAACCCTCTTCTATCAATATTTTAAATATAGCAATTTGTACGGTCCTTGTGGGCCCGGCTTCTCAAGGTAAGTCAATATCAACCTTACAACGCAGTGATTATATCGAGAAGAATTGTTTTTTTAACTATTCTTTTTTTATTCCTTATTATTTAAAATAGTAGATTTAAGTAGGAAGCGAACTCCAACTTTGACAATGGCATTATCTGTAATAATGTCATAAGGACAGCTTTTGATGTTTGAACAGCCCACCTATGCCTTGACGTAATTTATCTTTTGGATGCAAATGCAGGGTTTTTTTTTTTTTTTTTGTAATACATTGCTAGTGAAAAAGTTCAAAGTTCAAACCTTGGCCAAGCCTTGGGTACTGATTTTCAATGGAGAAGAGCAAAGTTCTGCACATAGTGATGTTCCCATGGCTTGCAATGGGACACTTCATTCCCTTCTTTCGTCTTTCCAAGCTCCTAGCCCAAAGGGGTCACAGAATCTCCTTTGTATCAACCCCAAGAAACCTCTCTAAACTTCCCAGAATACCATCCAACCTCTCATCTCAGATTACCCTCGTAGCCTTCCCTTTGCCTGAAGTACCCAACTTACCATCCCTAGCTGAATCCTCCATGGACATTACTTATAACCAGCAGCAACCACTCAAGCACGCCTTTGATCTGCTACAACCGCTTCTAACTTCTTTCCTCAAATCCTCAAAACCTGATTGGATCATTTATGACTACGCTTCTCATTGGCTTCCGTCAGTAGCAGCGCAGCTAGGTGTCTCACGCGCCTTCTTTGCTGTCTTCACAGCTGCATGTTTATCCTTCATCGGTCCACCTTCAGCGTTGATCAACGGTGGAGATGGTGCAAGGTCAACGGCTGAGGGCTTCACAAAAGTCCCCAAGTGGGTCCCTTTTGAATCCAACCTGGCGTACCGTTTGCATGAAATTACCAAATACATCGAGAGAACGGATGAGGATACATTTGGACCACCTGACACGGTCCGGTTCGGTTTACGATTCAAGAGAGTGATGTTGTTGTTATCAGAAGTTCTGATGAGTTTGAACCGGACTGGTTCAATCTTTTACGTCAGCTTTTTGAAAAACCGGTATACCGGTTGGTTTTTTGCCGCCAATACTGGAAGAAGATGAGATTCAGAATGATGAAAAATGGTTGCTGTTAAAGAATGGTTGGATAAACAGAGAGTACACTCAGTAGTTTATGTTGGGCTGGGGACTGAGGTTCATTTGAGTAAAGAAGAACTCAGTGAGTTGGCGATGGGTTGGAGAAGTCTGGTTTACCTTTCTTCTGGGTGTTAAAGAAGTCGCCCGGGTCATCTCAGTCAGAGTTGGAGATGTTACCAGATGGGTTTGAGGAGCGAGTCAAGGGACGTGGGCTTGTTCACTTGGGGTGGGTTCCACAAGTGAAGATAATGAGTCACGAGTCCATCGGGGGATTCTTAACTCACTGTGGTTGGAACTCGGTTATAGAGGCGCTAGGGTTGGGGCGGGTTTTAATAATGTTTCCGGTGTTGAATGACCAAGGGCTAAATGCCAGGCTATTGCACGAGAGAAAAGTTGGCGTGGAGATACCAAGGAATGAGATAGATGGTTCGTTTACAAGTGATGCGGTGGCGGAGTCAGTGAGGATGGCGGTGGTGGAGGAATCGGGCCAGTCGTTGAGAGAAACAGCTAAGGCAATAAAAAGTTACTTCAGTGACAGGGGCAGGAACGACGGTTACGTTGATAAATTTGTTCGTCAACTAGAGGAGAACAGGAAGTGAGCAGGTTCAAAGTTTTTTTGAATAAAATCGTATAGAAATTACAAGAATGTACGGTATTGTACCAAGTAATTATTAATCTCTATTGACCAAGGATGATACTTGGAAAGAATAATAATTTCCATTCACTATAGAATCAGGCATTGTAGCCCATCTGTACAACGTATGGTTAAGACTTGACATTTTGCTATTTTGAAAAACAAAACTATGAGCCGTCTGAGATGCTGCTCTTGGTAATACAAAAACAATGGAAACCTAACCTTGAAAGAGATTATTGTACATATATATGTTAATATCCAGATTTCTGTCTCAGCTCCTTGTTATGAACTAAAAGAAAATTGAACAGCTAAAAGGAAGCATCTCATCTTCAACAGCATTCTGAAAGATCTGCCTATCCCTTAAATGTTACACAAGGGTAAGAATCATTTATGTTGGATATAATGCTCAACGATGCTGAAACATTCAATAGCATTCTTCATCTTCATGGGCTAAACATATAGATGAAATATGGCTCCAATATCAATTCTAGCCAAATGGAGGAATGACTATAATTTTCGTTGGCATTCTGTCCAACAAGGAAAACAAATGAAAAAAAAATATGAGAATGGGATACAGTAATGATCACTTAACTTTCTTTCTGCCATATCTTGAATGCATATAATGATATAGTAAAAATATGAACATAGATTACTATCAGGTATACTTTCCAACAATATGGTGGTACACTGCAAATTTAAAATATTTATTCTGTAAAACATTTAGGAGTTAAACCAATATCTAATCATATAGGCCAAAACAATTAAAAACCAACAGACAACTTTCATACAGCTCTAGAATGTGGAGGCAAACATTACTAGACCAACACAGGCCACAGCAATCACATTAAGCAGCTTTGATCTTATATGCTGCAAATGACCATCACTACATGCATGTAGTTAATTACCGTTCTAAAGAATGAAAGCTCTGCACTGAATTAACATTACATTATAATGAACATATGAAGAATGAAATGGCTAAAAGTAAAAAATTAGTAAGCAGCATACCTGAGATCAGTGTCACCAATCAGGCCCTAGTGGTCAAAACCGTCATTACCATCCTGAATCATAGCTTAACCAGTTATAGTACCTTTGGTTTTTGGATTCCGGGGAAGGCCAGCTTTGCCTGGTTGAGGATTTTCTATAGAATAAACGAGAAGACTTCCATCTTTTGTCCCGGCCAAGAAGCATTCTTCTGGAGTCACAGTTAGGGATGTTATCATCTTCCCTACTCCATTATATCTTTTCACAACCTCAAGTGTGTTCATAGAGCGAACGACAATCTGTCCTTGATCACCAGCACAAACCAAGAACTCACCACACCCACTGAGTTCAACACAGTTAAGGCGCCCATTGGATTCGGAAGAGGCAAGATGTTTTCCATTAATAGAATAGAGGTGTAAACTGAGATCACCATCAGCATAAAGTACAATCAGTCCATGCCGAGAAGCAACAAGTTTTGACAATGCACTGCCCGATGGATGTCTTAAAGATCTTACATATCTTCCATCTCGCAAGGTATGGAAAACACAAGTTCCATCTTTTGACCCACTAATAACTACGTCAAGCTCCACACTAACATACAAGCATGTAATTATATCATCATGACCACACAGAATATGAAAGGGAGTTTCAGCAATGATACAGTCTTTACGGGGAACTTCTGTATGCAAGTTTCGAACTCTCTTTTCAGGGACTCTGACGCGAAGAACTTCCCACACCATGACCGTAGTGTCGTAACTTCCAGTAGCAAGAATGCTTCCATCAGCTGTCACTGCAATAGGTTATCAATCATCAATGAGACAACAAACACTCCAAGAAGCACTTACACAAACTGATAATTCATAACATAACATTTAGCAGATGCAGATCATCCTCATCTAGGCTCAAACATAATGATGCAATTCACAATTTATTTGCATGCATGTTTCACTTTCTTTCCTTCTATTTATCAATAAGATCTGAAGCTTTGAACAACAGCACCATCTTACCTATCACTACTTGAATTTATTCATATCTCAATATTGCTAATGTGATCCTCTACTACGAAGAAACATTGACAGCGAGAGAAGAAAATGCTAACTTCAAGCGGATGACAAGAACCATTAGGAACTTGAGGTCATAATTTCAAAGAACTTTACATAAATTATTCACACAACAGATAATTCCACAAATGCAACATGGTGAACTTTAAAGAGTTCACTAGTAAAAGATTTGAAAAAGGTCTCAAATACCTAAAAGAATACCAGCTAAGCTCTGAACAAAATAGAATTTCAGCAGATTTACAGCATTCCTTTAAAAGAAAAATACCTGCAACACAGCTGACAACATCTTTGTGCTGCCGAATACTCTGCACCATTCTTCCATCACTCAAAGATATGACTTGGAAGCTGTTTTCCCAATTGCCACATGAGATTAAAAAGTTCTCAGATGCTGTTTGCATTGTCGCAAAGCATTGTGCTCCAAGTTCAACAATTTCTGCCAGAGGACTCCCAATTTTACGAGGGGAAAGAATATCAGAACCAACTCCAAAGAAAGGATCCTGCAAAGTTTTGTAAACTATCTTAAAAAAATTACATTTAAGAAGCATAAAAAGGTAATTTACATCCTAGTGATTTAAGTTATAAAACTAATAATAATATGATTAAGAACTAACCTGAGAACCTGAGAAGGTGAAATTTCCACCAGATTGGAGTTGGGTTGTCAACCACATCTTAACAGACAAAGTAAGCCCCTGGTTCACAATGACAATGTTCGAGTCCAGTAATCCAACATACAACACAGCTGATGGGGGATAACTCATACAAGAAACAACAGATGTCAAATTAATTGAAGCAGGTGCAAAACACAACGGATGAGCAATTGGAATTGGAGGCCCTCTTCTTGGGTGTCTTTTTCGGAAAATCTGGATTGGTGTCTGGCCAAAATTGGCAATTTGATCTTCAATTGCTGATCTCTGCAGCTCGTCATCCATAGTGTCCAGATCAACAGCACCTTCATAAGTTAAATAATAGAAGATATTTGCAGCCTGCAACCGAGTTTAGTTTAACTGAGATCAGTTTAAAGGAAAAACAAATAAAAAAGAAAATCAAGATTTGGCTGTTGAAAGATGTTCTTTCCAGAGAATACCTCCACTGCTGGTTTTCCACGCTGCTTGTAACCAAATACCAAATCAATCCAGTGATGCAGATTTGAGCTAACATACTCGCTTTCAAGGGCCTCTCTGGTTTTACTTATGAACAATTCAGGTGAACCCTACAAAAAAAAAGAAAAGTGTCATTAAGTCTTTTTGTTAGGACATTTAGGGTTAAACTAAATGTTTAAGTATAATACAATATCGACTAAAATTGACAAGGGTACTTAGCTAGCAAGTCAAGGACTCAAGGGGAAAAGAGGAAAAGAAAGAAGTCTTAAAAGTGCAAGTCTTGTTCACACAAAGTCCCATCCAGATTAAGGAGCTTAACTGCTAGAAAGTTTACCCCTCATGGAACTGGGATAACATGAGGCATATTTTTTTGCATCAACATCCTTCCCTTTTTTGGCACACCATGTTGTGCTAGACATTCAACTCTGTAGGGTCACAGAATAAACTATAAAGTATGTTGCAGTCCAAAAAATTCTATCTTCCCCAAGGATTTTCATTCATTTGCTTCTGCACTAGTCTATCTAAAACAATACAAGCCTTTTTTTTCCCCTTCATTTTCCAACAATCTTTATCTGTCCAGTTAGTAAATGAGCTGCATCTTTGTTAGTCTTTGAAAAACACCTCTCATCTGACGACTATCCCATCTTACTCATAGGGACTGTTAGGCTACACATCTCCATAACAATATCTAGAAAAATAATAAAATAAATTGCTAGCATCAAATGGGAAAAAGAGATGCTGGTGCTGTATATACACTTACCTGCTGCTTTCACTCTTTCAAAAGTATAATACCACATATACAATTCAGTGACACTGTACCTAATATGTAATCTCATATATCTTTTTTTCTTTTGGAAGGAGAGGGCGGTTTCAACAGTACTAAATCAAATATACCATCTCATCCATACCTTTTATTTGAGCCTCAAACAATAGAAACACACTTCATTACTGAGTTTCTAGAATTGCATTAGAACCTTGATAAATGTTACTGTCCCTGAATTTCTCATAGCAGACCCCATATGAACAATATAAATTATGTATCTACACAGTTAGAATCAGATTCGAATGGAGGGTGTAACAAATTTGATATGATAAAAACTATTATACAAACAAGCATGTGAAATCTATTAAACCACAGCAACTGCTAGGGAGAGAAAAATCATATTTATTCCTGTAAAACTAATAAATCATCTTTCTGACTACCAGATATTTCTCAAGATTGATCAAGTAGTTTCTTAAGGAGGGTCCAATCATCATACACACTATATGAGGACAACCATAAACTCCAAAACATTCTTGAAGCAGAAACAACCTATTGAGAAATCAAATTGTCCCCAGATAATCTCTGAAACATGACATTCTTGGGGGGAATTCACATACCTTAGCCCAGGGAGGGAGAGAAACATCACTTATGGGTTCAGCATCTTGCTTCACCCCTAGATGATAAGAGTTCGAATTTATAAGAAACTCAGGCATGTAATAAAACTCAGGGATCAACTCCTTCACATCGCTTGTATTAGAAAGGCAATTCCGATATGTGCCTTCAATGCCTTGAAAAAGACGATCCGCATGGTCAAATTTACCACCCTGATGAAAAATGGAACCTTAGCGGAGCTTCTAGACTAAAATATTGAATGAAAAGGGAATATAATTCAAGTCTAGATTGCATCCACATTTAATGCATTCATACCTATGACCAGTACACAATTATCAGACTTCATATGACCACTGCAGTGATTTTTACACCCTTTGTCTTTTGTTGAAGAATCATACATAAAAGAATTCATAAATAGCTCTAGTTCACACAAAACTCCAATATTCATCATGCCCTTGAAAAACTAAATGCTGCTTATAACATTTATCAATAAAAACAATAACCATATAGAATTTCTTGCAAAACCAAAGATTATGAAGTTTCACCTGCAATGGAATCTTTTCAAGTAATGATAATTTCAGATGTACTTAACTTTCCTCCATATAGAAGAGTAAATAAAAATATATTTTTGCTACTTGCTACCAGTTCAAAAAATCGCATTTTGCAAAGATCACACCAAAATTCGTGCTTTAAAAACTGTGTTAGCAAAGGTTATCAGCTGAACTTCATTGCACCAGAAAAACAGTCAGATCACCACATATATTATATATCATTATCAGACAAGGTGGATTGCATTTAAATTCCATGCATCATATGATACCTAAATTCATGATGCCATGAAAAAGGTACCTGTAAATTACGGTGAAGAGACGTGAAAGGTTCTAATCGAAGGAGGTAATATAGCACAATCCCCATGCTCGAGTAATGAGACCCATAGTAGAAACTGCACTAGGAAGTAGGAGCAAAGCAGCACCATTAGACAATTAACTAAAGCAAACTCACCTAAATGTCCTGAAACTAGGATTCAAGATTACCTGGGTATATCGGGATCACAAAAGTTACGATACCTGTCTTCAAACACCTGAATTATGAAGCATAACATTGAGATATTTGGAAAGAAAAGAAAAAGGTGATGCAGTGGAATCAGCATTAAGTATGTAATTCATGAAACAAAGACAAATAAACTGACCTCAAACCGTTTCGAGTCCAGTGCTCCTACAGGCTTGGAGAGATCCCGAAAAGTTGATGACTTGTTAAAATCAAGAACCTCGGATGAGTAATCAGCCAAAATCCAAGGAAAGACAGGATATTGAGTCAAATCATTATAAGATCTTCCTGCAAGTGTGTTGAGAATCATCAGATACTCAAAGTTTGTTATATCCCTTCTCCTCCAGCTCTCCCTAGCAGCTTCAGCCATTTCCAGTGCAACACGTCTATCAACAAATGAAATAGTGCCACTCTTGTCCCTACTACTTGCTCTTGGAAACAACAGCTCATTTCTGGTAGAAACTATCAGGGTTCCAATCTCCTTCGCATCCTTCTGTGATGCAAAATTCATAAATATGGGAGCAACCGAATCACTGAAGAAAATCTCAACCGCAGTGTATCTAAGCAAATACCGAGTCCAGTGAACAGCTTTAATCTATGGCCAGCAAAAACAAACAAAAAGAAAGCAGATTGGTGTAAGAGATATAAGCAATACAGCTCAACTAAAAAAACTGATGGTTCCCTACCTTGCTAATATTCCATCTCCGATGGCGCTTAACATTTTTTAATTGTTTTTTATGCAAAATTTCTGCCTCTATATTGTCAGGAGTAGTCCCTTTCTCAGAATTCACATCAAGATAAATGGCCCACTTAAAAGACTTCAGCTTTTGATCAGCCTTTGCTGACTCAGACTGGCTTGATGCATTTAAGTTCTTGAAAACTGAAGACCCTACAGTACCTTCAACCAAAAATTCACCAAAGAAATGCAAGACATCTTTCATGACTGCCAATTGACCTGCCAATTTTCTTTTTGGAGTCACAAGCACACATGGAAGTGACATAAGAACCTGCAATATCAAACCTCAAATTAACAATGAAGTAACTCCAGATGTTTCAATGAGAAGAAACATAGTTTGACTGTTCTTTAATCCCACAGATGAGACGTACCTCACTAGTTTCCGTGTCTGGAGAAGGTGAACATAACTCTTTTCTGTCTTGCACAATGTTGATCTGATCATTGCTGTTTTTAACTACTTCCAAGCTTTGACTATCTGAAGAATCCTCAGGGATAACCACCAGCCCACATGGTTCAGCATCACTCTCACCAGGTTCTGAGCTCCCCTCATCAGTTATCCTGCGTACACCTTTGAGCAGAAACTGCTTCATTTGCTCAGGAATGTGCCCCACAAAACTAGATTTGCTCTCATTACAGGGAAGAGTAGCCTCATTTCCAGAGGAAGTGGAAGGAGGATGACACAGCTTTTCATCAAAATGATAGTTCCGTCTTAATTTTGGTCTACGCCGCCAAGTATCTTCCGTCTTGTCAAGTTTCCAATGTGTCACAGCCCCATTCGGAAATGGATTAGCAGACCATGGACCCCTTTCATCGATCAAAGTACGAAACATGCGCATCCATTTTTCCTGTCAAAGCAAAATGTATTATTTACATATATATGGGCACAAGATTCAGCGTTATTTAAATAACGGAAGAATGGGGACAGAAACAAAGAAAGTGAGCTATTAAAGAAGCTAAGAACAACCAAAAGAAAGAACATGTTCCACAATAGAAGAAATTTCAACATACAGCAACAATTTGCTGCTCCTCCTCATGGGCAAGCAGGAATGCGGCCCTTCTGCTCTCATCTGAAGCAAGAATAGTGACTAAGCTACTTTGTATCTCATCTTCAAATGCCTTCTGGTTATTAATATCTAAAAAGGAATTTTCATCCCTCCTAGCATGAAGCTCCTGCAACTGTCTGCTACGGTCGGATTTTAACATCTTTACATACTTAGACTCATCAGAAACCTGAAACAAGAAACTACAGAATTGAATGGTGCATAACTTGGAAGAGAGGAGGAGCACAAAAAAGCATGCCAAGGCAGTTAACAAAAATCTCATAAAACATGCCAAAGCATTCAGTGTTAGTATTATATTGCTTGCCTTTAGGCAATAACAGCATTAGAAAACATGCAATGCACATATGATATCTTCAAACTTCATGTTCAGCCTTGGAAATATCTCGAAAGAAATTTTCTTCAGTCAGAAAACCAAAAAGTTCATAAAAAGAAACATTAGAGCAACAAACATCATCTCATCTTCTTTCTTCCATCGAAGAGAGACTTAATAGACTATCATACTAATTGAAAATCAAAATATCACTTGAAACGAAGGTTGCCATGCAAAGTCTATATAAAACACAAGATTGAAAAACAAAAATAACAGGTCTCACTCTTGGAATATAGCAAAACATCCATGGAACTTCCACACTCAAGGAGATTGCCCAACATTGAATTATAAGTAGAGAAAATAAATATAGGATGAAAGTTTCATTTGATTAAAACAGCAAAACAACAAAAGTTGATAATGACAAAAGATGCGAATTTGATGTTCAGAACATACAGCAGAAAGCACTCGATCCTTCTGAATTAGATTGTGAATGGAGCCTGTTTCTTTCAAGTGGCTGCTTGAATCAAATGAGTCATCCCTACTAACCATGCTAGTAGCAAGCATTGACTTTCCAGAATTTACAGTTTCTCGAATCACATGTGCTATTACATGAAAACGAGCACCCTCATCTAACATTCCATACTGGGCTCTTACAGCAAGCAAAGACCTGATCACCATGTTATTTCATTGTCAATCTTCGTGGAACTAGTATAAGGCAATGAAAATTACTAAATAATATCCTTCATTAAACCTCAGGATAACTAATTACATGTCACACAAAATCTGGAAGCTTGGGCATTGGATAAAGAAATAATACCAGATGAAAAGCTGCAGTCTACTCTTGCTTTGCTCATCATCAGTGGCCAAAAGGGAAGGCAAAAGTGAGATGAATTGTTGGACACAGCGCGATGCTCTTTCAAGGGAAGATCTGCAGAGGTATAGGATTAAAAGTCGAAATACAATTCTTGGACACCTTTCCCCCCTTAAAGCCATGGCTTTATCAACATTTTTGTTTGGTTTTCCACTCAATGCATTGCCAATGCCTCCAGATACAACAACAGCAGCCATTTCTGCAGCAGGAATGTTAAGAGATTCTACCAAGCCACGTGCTCTTTGGCCAAAAGATGGCCCAACAGAAGCTGAAATTCTAGGCATCATCTTGCTTGAACCCTTTCCATTCATCTCACTAATAACAATCCATATATTGTCAAATAAATTCCACCACTTATCATCAGTTATGCCATCTTCACTCGATATTGGCTGCCTGGAAGCTCTTGGATTTCTGAGAAAGAAAAGAATCAAACAGAAAGACGAAGTTTCTATCTACTGGACATCTTATATGGTGGCAGAACACTGTCTTCATAGATGTCCACATGATGTTGTATTCAATTATAAGGCTCACAGTAAAAATGATAGTGCAATGATACAAACACCATTTTTGATGGTGCAACATCAATGGTAAGCAGCAACTAATTTTCCGAAATGAGTACATATGAAGTCATGAAACTTTGCACTTAATATGAATATTCAACTTTATGAAATTCAGTCCAACTTGATATTCCTAATTCTGTTTAAAGATATTGTAGATACCATCTGCACAAAAGAACAGAATGCCAACCGATGGCACCCTACATCATCACAAGAGAATTCTATATTTAACATGCTTGAAATTGAATAAAAGCCAACACTTGCTTCTAATTCTCCTAATCATATCAATTGATACTCCTCTGGATTGAAAATTCTATAGCAAAGGTAAACTTGATGATTAGAAAAAGGGTGCAGAATGTGAAAGGTTTTGTGATGGTAAAAAGCTTATATATAGTGTTGCAATGATCAGATATAACATCATTGTGCAGAAAATGCAGGTAAACTTTATCACCAGAAAATTGATACTCATGTCTACTTTTTTATTAATATGGAAAAGGTTTATCACCCTGAACCACAAAAGCTAGACAAGAGCCAGATTGCTAACTAGCATCTACTTTTACTTGCTTTAGGCAGGAGAAGGAA